TTGGCCAACGCAACCCCTACCAGACCGGAATCACGCTTTCTGCTCTCTAGTCAGTGCTTCACGATCCACCATATAGTGACGAATCATAAGTGACGCCGGCAGTCTCGTTGCAACCGGGATCAAGGTGATCCCCCTGTGGTTATCACACTCACTACGAGCCCCTTTATAAAAATGGGCACTATCACCGACTCTCCCAAGTTGTCTCGGAAGGTCTTCATTTCCTAAATGCAGGCAAACAAATCAGACAATCTCCGACTTAGGACAATGCGGGTAGGTCATCCGGACCAGAAGCTTGAGAGAACACACGCAGTTGTAAATCTTTGGGCCGTAGGTGGTTCCAAGTTGACCTTCCAAGGTTCTACGTCAACTTTTGGCCACGATAGATATTTTTGAAGTTCTTCTTTACAGGAGATGGTCACTCCCTTCTGATACTTAATGGTTTCGCTTACAGATGGTTTCCGGAGACCGGTCACGCGAATCAGCTGAAATAATTTTCGGGCATTATCGGCTTTCTGAATCATTCCCTTGGCTTTCTGTGTCCACTAGGCCTCACAGTCCGTTCGCACGCTCACTTTCACCTGACGTCTGATAATTTGTCAGGCCAAGTAATGTTACGGACCGGGCGGGGTATTTCTCCGGAACTTTAGCAGTGCCACCGCTTGGTCTGATATCCAGTGATCGAGTGAGCTTGGTAGCAATGTGGCACCAGCAAAACTCCTATCACTGTGCAAAACGTTAACGATCTCGTCCCAGTATGAATTCACATCTGATGGTGGAGCATTTGGAAGAGACACTAGAAGACAGTTGTGGTAGCAATGTTGTGGAATATGAGTAGCTCGGGTACGCTGCTTGGCTGTTGGTCTGTTCGCCAATTGTGGTACATTTGTCTAACATCCCGATCTGCCAGGCTTCCAGTTGCTAGGCGATTTCCGTTGCCAGACACCTCACGCGGTTCTGGAAAACGAAGGGAGGTGGGTTTCTGGACGAATGTCTGATCAGAATCCACAAATATGTTGCAAAAGGACTGACAGTCACTGATCCTTGTCACTGCTAACTGATGGCAATTTAATCGAATTGAGTTTGTGGCCGGCACACCGTTGGTGGGCGCCATGTGGCCAGACGACTTCGGCTATTTTGGACGTTGGTACTGCATGAAAACAGCCTGCGGTCAGCACACAGCTGAAGCAGTCTTTCACCATTTTCCGTCCTGTACATGTCGACCACCCAATTGAGTTTTAAATGCGCTAAGCCTACCGCCTTATGCGTTCAGATCTCCGGCATCCACAACGATATCTGGGCTTTTAGCTAGTCGCACAACAGACTATTCAGCGTGTCATAAAACTCGTCTTTGGTAGTATCAGAACCACAGTCAGTTGGGGCGTAAGCAGAGACGAAAAACAGACATGGATCAATTTCCCCTTGTGAAACACTTTCACAAACGTTGCTAGACAAACCGCGCGGAGGCGGCCATCAACAACTATCTAGTCAAGCAGGGATACTTCCATCCGGTGACTCAGGACGATAACAACCCATGCACATCCTGCCGCAGTGGCCACTGAATCACCAGAGTTGCGCAGCCGGAAGCAAGTGGAGATCGATGGAGATTAGCTCAACCGCTGTGCTTGCACCTTGGATTCTTGTTTTTGAGACACAGCACACATCAATCTCAAGCGAGTCCAGTGTGACAGTTGGAGCAGCTGGATTCTCTGTTACTTCAGAATGTGTAATTTGAAGGCGGCCAGATAGACTGGACGTCGAAGCTTGAATACTGATTTCGCGATCCCTGAGGATGTCGGCGCCGCAGAACGCGTAGATGTTTCTTGCAAAGCCGATACGGGACGAACGGAGTCATCGGTCTTAAAAACTGGGCCTGCAGGGAGAGAGTTATTATTGGAGTTAGGAGGAAGAGAAGAAAAATTATGTGAAAGAGGAATAAAGGAGACGCCAACAATAACATGTTTTTACCTACCCGCCCTGCTCTATTTAGCGTGTAAGTCTTCCTCTTACAATTGGCCAACCTGGTATGAAAGACTCTGCGAGTGTCGCGCGGACACCACTCGTTATAGCTCAATGGATCGCCAAGTTACACGAACCGCCACGCCATGATAAGATCCATTCTCTTCGTGACGGGTTAAAAAGAAGAATGGGAGGGTAAGTCACCAAAATTACCTATGGTTTCGATCAAGGGTGTTTACAACGCAGTTAACACGTGATGAATTTTCTGCTCTAACCTTTCAGGCTACCAGTTACCAAAATCTATTTATGGGTCATTTTTGTCAGTCAGGCGACCCAAAAGCCCGTTTGCACGAAAGTTTTTTTTTCAATAGGACAATGTATGTTGCAGCAACAGAATTCAACAGCACGCAAGTAATTTGGACAAGCATTATGACGCAAGACTGTTTATGTTTTCGGCTGCTCAGGTTTAATTTTGTCACGGTTTAAGAAAAGAAGTGCAACTTTTCGAGAAATACACTCAATGGCAAATCAATTTGGTTTTCACGGGAGACTCAACTGAATCTCTTGTTTATGATGTCCTCCAGCTGAATACGCTGCACACAGGCCGCCTCATAAACGAGAGATTCAATTGAGTCTCCCGTGAAAACCACATTGATTTGCAAATGAGTGTATTTCTCGAAAACAGTGCAATTTGGGTTCAAGTAGATCATAAGGTTGACGGAAACTCGGGGACTGCGCCTACCTGATGAGCCCGAAGGTGAAGGGCGAAACCGGTCGTGGGCTGTCGAAGAGTTTTCAGCAACCTTGTGAGCAGTTTCCTTTATGGAAAAAATGCAAATTTTATTGAAATCTAAGGAAATAGACGGCTGGTGTTCTGTAAGAAAGGTCAGATTCCTGTTAATAATCCCGTAATATTCAAAACTTTCTGATACCGTCAAACTTTTCGCAAATCACAACACGGAAGCCGTCATACATTCGAGACAGAAAAGTCAGCTGCCAGTTAGATGCTAAAGTAGCCAATCAGTGATGGCCGACGATGGTGAGTGGTCGGGCATGTCATAGGAGTGACACAAACCAATCACACAATGCCGATCAGGCAGTCTGGATTCAAGCAAAAAAGTCAGTCTCAAACACCGCGATGCCTCTTATAATTTTCGCACTCGCTTGTTAGCAACAAAGCTGTTGTGTTCCTTGATGGTGGGCCTATTTCCGACACTAAGGTATTGGAGCGAGGTAGCACTTTCGGGATTCTCTGGCGTGTGGAAACTAACCCCTGAATCCTCCCCCGACAAAGATACACGGTTTGAGGTGAGTTGCAAGCAAAACTAACTGGGTGCCATTTTGCCGGTAGAAACCCTTTTGTAGGAGACTGTCAACTGGCCAGACTCCATAGCCTGCCCAGCGTCTGACCCATAATTCTCAAACCAAATTATCCGATGTGGTGCGGAGTCTATCTGACCAATAAACCAGTAGATCCAACTAGGGTGGTCATTGATTTGTTTACCCAGCTTGACAACTTGGTCGCAAAATTTGCCAAGCTCGGCGAACAGATCAACAGTCACCTTGTCATCCAGAGATGGACGCACTCAGTAGTTACTTGCTATGGAACGTTGTCCCAAATATCACATCCCACACCACCTTGGAGCACTGGCCTCAAATTGTTTGAGCGATGAAATTTTCTACCATTGCGTCAATCAAAATGACAAACTAGACTTCGTGGTAGTCTCCCAAAAGTGCGCAAGATCTTTAGAGTGCAACGATAGCTTCAAAACGATAGCTATTTAGGCTATCTTTGTGGTCAAACTTGTTATATGTATGAATACGAAACTACACAACTGAAAATATCTGCAGTTGGCAGTGAAGCTACAGATTCCAGAAGTCCATATGGTTGTGTAAATTGCAAAAAAATCCCGTGAATGAAGATGCCTAAAGTTAATCGCAAAGCAGAAAGAATGTAGCACACTACGTGGAGCATGTGAAATGAGCATACGGGTTGACATAGATGAGAAGCACTTGCCTTAGAGGATTAGGCGCTGTAAACTTACCGTAGTACTGAGCTTGTCATTGAATCAAAATGCATTATTGTGATATCTGATTCCTCTATTCTTGGAGGTAAGAGTACACAGTTGCGTTGATTTGTGTCACCGCGCAGAAGTTAGGTTCCAGTCCTACGTCTGTAGGAAAAACCAAGGGCAGTGTCTAAAGAGTGAGGCGGAATTTAGAATGGTTTCACTATGCAAGGCTAAAATGTTCAGAGCTCGATCACATGCGAAAACCTGTGCCTGTGAAAGATTTTGTACATGATTAGTAAAATAAAACCCTGTTCTTTTTGGTTGGAAAATATAAAAAGCCTTAGTGTATGTTCAATCACACCTGCCCTGGACAGAAGTGCGCGCTTGAATTTGGACGAATAAAACGTACCTCCGGCTTACCTAATGGATTCTAGACCAACTGATTTACCACCGTTCTCCACCAAACTTGTGCACCTGAACGCCAAATTAAATCTCCAAAACCCTAGAAAACGAATCAATATTCACCTGTCACCGTTGTTAGTAAATCCATTGTCTCAATTTAGTAGTCTGCGAGACGTTACTGACATTCATACTCTTTTGTTGCGTTGTGTTGGCCATCTAACACACGGCATTCCCAATTTGACACCAGTTTGTTCACGTCTTGTATACTAAGTCTATCCATTTCACGATCCCATTGGTGAAGAAGCCATATATTGATAGTTTCCTGCGTCAGCAAGATGCACATACCGCAAATAGTAAGGCAGAACCTGAAGTTTTCATGTCAGACATGATGGAATGCCTTTACTTTCAACGTTTATTTCGATCGTTTTGGTGTAAGAACTTTTTCATCACAACAGACAGCGTTACTTAGATGTGGTTCTGCGTTTCTGTTTGACCCAACTAGCGACAATGTTTGGCATGTCGCACATCAGTTTCACGTGCTCAAGTGTCTCCCTTAAACGCTCTTCTAATCCAGGCAGCGCATTCTTCGAAACACCATGTGTGTCTGCCTTATGTCGCGTAACACCTCAAAGTGAATGCAATCTGAAAAGATTGCATAACGATCGGCCCCAAGACTTGGAACTCCTTTACCTATAAAAGTGAATACCAAGGTAGGGAGACTCACAGTGCATAGAACGACGGTAAGATGAGCCAGGCAATTTTGCAAAAGGGTGACATGTCCAGCGATCAACAGGGAGAGCTGTTGAAGTTGGCTAATGACCTAATGGAAAAGGCTGGAAATCCAGTCAAAGTTGCATCTAACCTAAGAGATGAAATGAACAAGCGCTATGGTCCAGCGTGGCAGTGTGTGGTTGGTCGGGATTTTTCAAGGTGAGACGAATGTTGATTAATTTTGTGACATATTCCTGCATACTTACAGTCAATTGCTTCATTCGGTTCTATGGTAGGTCTCATAATTTAGCAAGTTCGATCAGGAGCCCCTGTCAGCCACATTTTCTCTTGTGGTGTTCTTGTGAATATCTTTCAGTTAGGCTAATTCTGAAAAGAATAGCGTAGGGTGATCAGCTTCTTAGTCACTTGCTTAACTGGTGGATTTTAACCTAAAGCACGTTGCAAAGACGGAAAGGATCTGACAGAGTTAACTTGTCAAGGACGTCTTGAGATAGACCGGGGACAGTTACTTCCGGGCTGTGCAATCACGTAGATGCCTATATGTTTATCTCTATATACATAAGTCAAACGTAAAAGTAAGATGTTGGAAAGCGGACACTCGCAGTACGTCTTTTCATAGAAGATGATACAGAAAGACAGATAGACCGAACACATAGTTTCTAGGTTTTATTCAGACTGTCTTGGGGCTACGCTAGCTATTTTATGCTGAGACGAACGCACCGCAAACGTTACCTCATCAGATATGTCTTACTTTTTGCTTTCAGCTTTATAACTTTTGAGAAAGGCACCTTCGCTGAATTCATGATCGGCGACTATGATTTTGTCGTTTTCAAGTGGAGCAAAAAAGATAAGTGATGGGCCGTTTCATGTTCCATCTCATCACTGCGGAATTGAGCAACCCTTAGTTACCTAAATAAACTTTCATAGAAAACAAACTGAGTTTTCCACTTTTGAACTGGGGCTATATCCCTTCAAATCCTGTTGGCTCATCAAGCTAAGATATTTCTGTCCAAATTTTTAAAAATCATCAATTTCTGAGATTCAACACAAGGCTGAATAAGATGGATTCCCGGGAACTATGCAAACCGATTGTTTCATATGACTGTTTAGGCAGCAAACTTAGTCCGGGAAGAGTGCACAATAAATGACTGGCTAGAATAAGTAGCTTTCATAACGTCACTTTGGAGTTACTGATAAGTGGTTGGTTGTTTGATTGACTAAATGATTGACCGTGATACTGAGCCAACCACTACTACGTTGCCGATGAACGCCAGTTTTCCACTGCTCAATTCTGACATAATTCCATGCACGTCAATCTGAAAACGTTTACTGGATTACTCACGCAAATTCGGATATGCTCAAAACTGCGAGCGGACACTATATCTCAGATAACATCTCACTTCTCATTCGAAACTATAGTCAAGAGGTGAAAACATTTTCAGTACTACTCATGAGGTCAGGATAATTTCTGCGCATTCCATTAACGGCTTCGCTTTTCTTGAAGAAAGCTTATCATTTAGGACAAGAATAACCGAAATTCATACTTGAACACCCAATTGCACCTAAGTTGTGAATCCTAAGAATGGAGAAACCGGCAATAGAGTGTTCATAGATTCCATCAATATCTTAAACATCGTTCAAGCTGAATTATATACCGACTTTTGTGTAGCATTTTCCGTCTAGTGGTAGTAAAAAAGGTGCAATGAAAGCGAACTTCGATGCAGACTTCCCTCATCATCAAGGGAATGGTCATCACGATATACTTTCGGATGTCAAATCGATGGAGATTCGAGAAGTACGCCTACTTGGTAGCCTGACAAATGGTTGTGGTTATTTTTTGGTTGGAGGCTAAGAAAAAGTTTGTTTTCCGTTGTGACCTGAAGAGGAAAGAATAAATTTACACGGCGGTTTCATCAGCAGTTACGAGAAGCATAAAAATCCGACTTCAGGCCCCGCTTTATTCACATTCCGACTTCCAGGAAAACCGAAACCAAACTTGCATGCAGATTGTGTGCTTATCCATGAGCCTTTGGTGGCTAAATCACTTCGACCTATAGCATGTAGAACGACGCCTAAATGTCGTCCCACAAGAACTAGGGTTATTTGTTTTCCTTACTTGAGCAAAACAGTCTGTTCACGTCAATTCACTTCGACCTCCTCTCATTCCATTCTTCACAACGATGGTGCGAATGGCTAAATCACTTCGACCTATGGCATGTAGAACGACGCCCAAACGTCATCCCACAAGAATTAGGGTGATTCGTTTTCCTTACCTGACCAAAACAATCTACTCACGTCAATTCACTTCGACCTCCGCTCATTCCATTCTTCACAACGATGGTGCGAATAAGACAATGTGAGATCACTCCTCTATCGGACAAGTTTTTGCGGACCGTACTACTCTCGATGTTGGTCTACCTAGAGGATATGAACACAAGCTTGTCATCGATGTCCGCAGGCCTGTCTGCCGGAGTGTTCCGTTAGTAGGACGCCATTGACAAGAAAACGGATTTTCTATTCTCCGGAATACACATTGGATGGTTGTTTTTAATGGAACCAGACCGAACCTCACTGATTATATCACTCCGTGGGTAGTCGTGCGATTGCAAATAAACAGGAATCCATTAGCACAGGTGACGGGAAACCCAAATCCCTTCTCCTTACCCACGTGCCGTAGCAATGGCTCATCACACAGACAGATAAAATCCGTAAACGATACTCAACAGGGATCTCCAAATACAATGAATCGGAAGAACCAGACGCTATATCTCCAAGTCCATCGGTCTTAACACTTGCTGATCTCTAATAACAGGCAAAATCTCTATTTGGTCCACCAGTAGGAAAAGATTTAGACGGTTGGTTCTACTGTTACCTCAATAACTAACCGGCAACCCAGTCAGTAATTGCTCAACAAATGCTAACAAATACGCTGACATCCTAAGAGAACCAGTAACCATCCTGTTCAGCAACTGTCTTATTGTCGCGGCTGGTACTGGGACTTGGAGAGCTTGGCTAAACAAGAAAAGTCAACGAACGTGCAAGCCAGCTGCTCTATTGATCACTGTCATGTACAAGCGGTCAAAAGTGATACTAAGAATACAACTCATCTGGTAAGGGTGAGTGAAAAACAACCAATGAAATCTGTCCCATCGAAAAACGGTTATTTTCATTGACAGTTATGTAGTTCCGTTACGTTCGGAGCTGGTTCTCCCAATAGGAAAGAAAAACATCGATACCCGTAAAAAAGCCACCACGCTTCCAGTCACAGATAGCACTTGTACCATACAGAAACACTCAAGAATACAAGTTTAGGTGGAATGTATTTCACCCTGTACGCCGAAGTCTCTTACAGTCAGCAAACATGCTCTACTACGAATGTCGTTGTCTACCTGATTGTATTTATCAGTTGTCAACGGGCCTAGGGCTAAATGACTCATTTTTTGACAGAAACCTTTGGCAGCATCGATCACGATGTTTCGCTGCAGCCGCTTGCAGAAAGCGAAGCCGATCCAAAACAGTTCCACCAACCGCACACGAGGAACGAGCCTAAGTGACCGAAAATCCACTCCCTTCTCCACTGACACTGACTTGCTTCAAGGACCTACAGCTCTCCTGCAGTTGAAATGCCCACGAATGATTCTTTCATCTGACTCAAGCATAGGGCCGACGTGGTCATCAGCTCCATAAGTTGCATTCTACCAGCATAGTTGCACATATCGAATTGCCACTGAGGTTTACAAAATCGCCATCCGGTTCCATAGTGACTTTGTTGGCAGAGTCGTGATAAATTCTTGTTGTAAATACTAGGTTTTCCGGTGAGAGGGATTTTAGAATGCCTGCCAGGAATATGGCCAGCTCATGGGGTGAGGAACATATTACGTCTACTGTCGGTTTCACCGGGACATCTGGTTTGTAAATTTTCGGTTGACCGTGAAGCCTTGGTTGTATTGTACTTTTGGGGTGCAGTCGACACTAATCACCATGCCCTAAATGACTCCTCAAGGCCACAAATAAATGCCCAATTCAACTTCACTCCTTTTCGCTATAGATGTAATATTCCCACTATCGATCTATCGGTAAGAAACCTCTGCTAGGTGTTGCTCGACTTTCTGTAGATAATCCCTCGTGTTCATAATAACAATGGCCTTACACTTTATCCGCCTTTGTAATCAATATTTGGTCCACCTGTTTTGAAGTGTCTAACGCTCCCCACTCGATATTCGATCTTTGATATTCTTTGAGCAGATGAACACCGGTATCTGTCTAGCAAGTGTGTGCAGTAGGGAACAGTTTGTTCTACAGAATTCACAAAATTGTAACACAAGAAAGGGGAGAACGAGAGAGGGCTTAGTGGAGTTCATCTTGCTTGAGCCCGGTTACAAAACTGAGAGAGACCTGTGATCTAGTTTTCATGCCAACTTTCAGATTTGACTCAATTTTACTGCACTGTCCTCCGGGCGCTTATTAAGCAAAACACACGTGCCCCGGCCTCACAAAGTCAAAATGTATCTATCAGTTCAATTGCATTTGTACATATATATCGGCTGATCGACAGGAAATCTGGGGTAACGGATAGTTTGTTGCTTACCTGAACAGTCCAGGATTTGTAAGCAAGAAATCCAAACGTAAAAAGCTTAAGGGACTGTAGTCACAAGGTGGATCTTGCATCAACATTCCTTACCATTCTGACTCCCAAAGTGAATGTTCATTGGATATTTCTGTGGGTGCCACAATTCATTTTTACCGCATCTTTATTTGTACGAGTAATTTATGACACACGTGACTCTGGCGCGCTATAGTAGCTCAACTTTATTGATAACCAATTAGGAGAGCATAATTCAGGCTATTTTAATCGCCTTTCATGAATTTTGCGGTACCGTTTACTTTACCTGAGACATAACTGCTCTTTGGTTTTCGCTATGGACCACCAATTTCCAGTTTTTGGCATTCTCTAATGTCTGCTAATGCCTTGGTTAGCGATCGCCTTGACCATCTCCCGATGATCACGTGAATCACTTATGAGCGTATTGATTACACACACTGGTTCGATCAGACGACATGTGACATGACTTCGGAAACCGTGCTTACGGATTCCTCACCCACTTCACACTATATCACTACTCAAGGAGTGTGTAGGCATGAGACATCTTAGCCATTAGCCATGGCTTATTGCGCTTTCATTCGGAGGAATGCATTCTAAGCTCATTAGATTTTCATTGAGTGAGTGAAGAAAAATTACTTTATCGTTTCCTTCATTTAACTCCCCAATAACGAACCAATCCCAGTTAACAGATATTTTATTATCACCCAGGATGTGGTCAACTGGCTTTCACCCTGTCATTATCATTCGGATACGTTTCCACTGCAATCGCTAATCAAAGGCGGTTATTGAGTAGTGAACCACCCGGTTCAGGCTATTAATGACTATGTTCTAGCATTACGAAAGTGGATTTCTGAATGTAAATCTATCAGGATTTGTAAACGAATAGTGGGCATCTACATTAATTGCTATGTCTCTAACAGACATTGCTTCATAACTGCCCCGGTACCTTACTCAATATTGGCATAACGCATATCTTGGATCGCATTGGATGTTGGTAAGACAACGGAAAGCAAATGCTACAAGTGAACTGTTGGAAACACCCACGTTAAATCCAGTTAGATGACGACAATACCAAACAAACAAATTAATGCGGGTTCCAAAGCTGAAGTCAGAAGTTTGAAGCCCACCATAGACGAGCCTCGTGAAGCTACACTTTCAAGGGATAATTCTAAGATATTACATGAAACACTAATGCCACAAACCAGAGCCCGTTAAAATTCTTCGGGGGCATCCAAAAAATTGTTCAGGTCAGCAGTAAAGGTATTCAAAGATAAACAGTTCCCTGTCATGTATCGCTTTGACGCAAATAATGTGTTAGACTGAATATCCTTAA